GGTGAGCCATCAGTGGTAGCCTTGAAAGAGGCAGCGGCGAAAGAAACCGGCATAGACTGGGTTTCGGAAAAGTCGCCAGTAGGAGACCATCAGGCGAATGGTCTGGCAGAGAACGCCTGCAAGGAAATCAAGCATCAAGTACGAGTTCTCCGCAGCGCGTTGGAAGAGAAGCTCGGAAGAGAGCTCAAAGATGATGATCTTGCATTGGCATGGCTGCCAAGGCAGGCGGGAGACCTGTTGAGCAGGTACAAGAAAGGTCAAGATGGCAGAACGCCTGAGGCCAGAAGATGTGGAAAGCAATGGCGAAAACCTGCCATAGCTTTTGGTGAACGCCTATACTTTAGAGAAGTAGGCGAGGGAGTTCGCATCCTGAAAGAAGGACGCTATGTAGGACACCACGGCCGAACAGGATCCATTTTGGTGATGACGGCCGATGGCGTGCGAAGAGGCACAGGAATCCGGCGGCTGAGTTCAGCCGACCGCTGGGACCCAAGCGATTGGGACCTTTTGCGGGGCTTACCGTGGGAGCACTCCGCGGCGAGGCCTGCCACTGAGCAGTTGATGCTCGAAGAGCGCCTTGTGGTACCACCCCCTAAAGAGGAACGAGTGGCACCGCCACAACAGAGGCGAGTGTACATCAGGAGAGAGGATGCGCGCAAGCATGGAGCCACGGAAGGCTGCCCAGGATGCAGGTGCATCTTGGAAGACAAGAGGACGACCTTGCCGCACACAGAGGCGTGCAGAGCAAGGATCACCGAAGCAATGGAAAAGGATGAAGCTGGGCAAGCGAGACTTGAAGCCCATGCAAAGAAGAGGAAAGAACGGCAACAGCTTGACACTGTGAAGCCGAAAGTCGCGGCCGACAAGGACACCGACATCACGGCCGAAGACGCGGCCGGAGAACCAGAGAAGAAAGAAGAAGCAAAGAGCGCAGGGTCGAGAAGCCCGCCGCCAACAGCGGCAGAAGGTGAGAAGACCTATCCCGATGACCCGAAAGAGAGATATGAGATGAAGAGGCAAGCAGCCGAGATAGAGAAGAAACCAGTGGCAAAAGCCAAGGTAGCAACAGAGCCCAAGAAGAGAACAGGAGAACTTCGGATAGATCCACCTGGGGCAAAGGTCAAGCCGAATCCAGTTCAAGGAACAAAGAGGTCAGCAGAGACTGCCGTAGAAGACCTTGATCCCAGAGTGGAGGAGAGTCCAAGGAAAGCGTCTCAGTTTTCACATGTGCCAGAAACACCACCAGCAGGGTGGAAGCCAGATGCAGCCAGCTTGGTAAAAGAGAAGGAGATCGCAAAGCAGCATCTGAAGAAGGTCATTCAAGGAACCTATGAGGCGAATGGCATCGAGATCACTGAGCAAGAGATCGGAGACATTGCTCATTTGAGCGTGCAGATGTCAGCAGTAGATATCATGGAGATCTACTCGCCCAAAAGGTTCACTGCGCTTGCAGAGCGCTACAAGTTGCGACCGGGTTTTGCGGTCGACTTGAATGAAATGAAAAACGATGGAACATACTGGGACTTGAACAAGCCTGAAGATGTTCAAAAAGTGCACGACATCCTTGAGAAGGACGAACCGGCGCTTTTGACTGGTTCGCCACCGTGCCATATGTTCTCACAGCTCCAGAACCTCAACTGGAGAAGCATGGCACCGGATGTCCGGAGGAGGAAAATGGACGAAGCCGTCCACCATCTCCATACGAGCGTAGAGCTGTATGTCAAGCAGCATCGCTCAGGGAGAAAATTCCTCCACGAGGCACCTTGGTCCGCAACTAGTTGGAAAGATGAGAAAGTTGCGGCCTTAGCGAAGGAAGATGGAGTGTTCATAGTGAAGGGTCCAATGTGTAGGTGGCAGATGATGGCCACCGACCGAAGAGGACTCCAAGGCACTGGCTATGTGAGAAAGGAGACCGGTTGGATGACCAACGATGAAGGATTGGCCAGAGTCTTGCAAGGAGTCTGTTCGAATGAATCGGGCAAAGGACCATGGCACCGACACATCCATCTGATCGGAGGCATTGCTAGGCAAGCAGCGGTATACCCGCCGCAGCTCGTGAAAGCAGTGCTGAGGAGCCTGCGTGACACACTAGCTGAGAAAGGTGAGTTGAACACCTTTGATTTGTTTGCAGCAGGCCCAGTTCCAGAGATGCCTCTGATGGAACCTGAGTTCGAAGAAGTTTACATGGATGATGTGAACGGCGGCATTTTGCCAGCCGAGAAAGTGAAAGAGGCAAGACGCCTTGAAATGTTTGAAAGAAAAGCATTGTGTTTATGTGCCCCGGCCGAGAGCCGAATGTTTTGAGGAAACGGGGAAGCCCCCGATTCCAGTTAGATGGTTGGACACCAACAAGGGAGATCCAACAAACCCGAACTATAGGAGCCGATTAGTTGTGCGTGAGATAAAGGCACGAAAGACTAAAGAAGAACAATTGCCAGCCAACTTGCTTTTCAGCAGCACGCCCCCATTGGAGGCGATGAGACTGCTGTGCTCGTTGTGGGCAACAAAGAGAAAGTCCTGCCACAACCAGCCGCTGAAGCTGGGTTTGTGGGACATCTCACAAGCACACTTTTATGGAACTCCAAAGAGAAAGATCTACATAGAGCTGCCGCCTGAGGACGAAGCCAGCAAAGATGGGCAAACCTGTGGACTTCTCGTGAAGTCGATGTATGGAACACAGGACGCTCCAAACATCTGGCAGACGCACTACACAGAGACTCTGCAGAAAGCTGGTTTCCGCAGAGGCTTGTCAAATGCGTCAGTCTTCTACCAAGAAGCTTGGGACGTCAGAGTGATGGTGCATGGAGATGATTTCCTAGCGCTTGGAGACGCCCAACACTTGGAGAAGCTCAGCCAAGTCCTCAAAGATGCCTATGAGCTGAAATGTCTCGGAATTCTTGGAGACGAGGATGGAGACCGAACAGAAGCTCATTTTCTGAATCGGTTAATCCGAGTTGAAAAAAAGAACGGCAAAGGATCAATTGTGATCGAAGCCGATCGGAGACATGTTGATCTTTTGATCCAGGCATTTGGTCTGGAGAAGGCAAATGGTGTAGAATCACCAGATGTCAAGAAGTCGGCAGATCAGCAGATGCTGGAAAGCCGCAGTCCGCTGCTTGATAAGAGCGAGGCATCGAAGTATCGTTCAGCAACGATGCGTGCTGCGTACTTGTCCCAAGATCGACTCGATATTGGGCACGCAGTCAAGAACCTTGCTTGAGGTATGGTATCACCGACAGAAGCCAAGCTTGCTGACTTGAAGCGTCTCATCAGGTACTTGAAGAAATACCCTGATGTTGGGCAATGTTTTGGCTCGCAGCAGACACCCTCCAGGTTGAGGGTGCAGGTTGATGCCGACCATGGTGGTGACGCTGTAACACGCAAAAGCACGACTGGCATGTTTGCTATGTACGGCATGCACGTGTTGAAACACAGTAGTAACATCCAATCCACTGTAGCCCTTTCTACAGGTGAGAGTGAATACTACGCACTTGTGAAGGGAGGATCTGTGGGCTTAGGCCTCCAAAGCCTATGCGCAGACCTTGGTTTGGAATTAGGAGTCACCATCGAGGGCGATTCCAATGCAGCCAAAGGAACTGTGAATAGAGTGGGTTTGGGTAAAGCCAGACACATCCAGACTCGCTACCTATGGTTGCAAGAAAGGGTCGCCGAGGGCCACTTGAAAGTGCACCACGTTCCAGGCGTCAAGAACAAAGCCGATGTGTTGACCAAATCGGTCCCTGGGGTGCAGCTTCGCAAAACCATGGAGGACCTGCAGTATGCATTCCTCAGCAAGCGAAGCAAAGGACAGTTAGATGTTTTGGAGTAAGGTCCCTGGCCAAGCTCCACTACCACAATTGAAAGTGGCTCAGCAGCGAGAGTTTCACATGTTTCCTTTTATGCTTGCGCAGCAGTACAGTGCTTTGCAAGAGGAGGAGTGTTTGTATGTACAGCCCATATATACTCCGCTATAGGTACTGCAGACACGTGACTCTTGACGTGTTTTGGCTCAAGGTGAAAAAGGCGTTCCGTAACGTCGACACTTTGTTTTCAATCTCTCTCTCTCTCTCTCTCTCTCTCTTCTCGGCGTGTGGAAAGAGTCATTCATTCGCACCCACACTCAATCACTACGGGTTGTCCAGGTCAGCAGAGCTCAAATCTCGGAGTCAGGAGGGAAGATCCGTGCAACATGGTGCAACCATTGGAACTGCTGAAGAACGGACGTTTTTTCAGAGACCTCTCTGAATTTTCCGTGGTAGCTAAGGACCCTAAGGACCTAAGGACCCCTACCATACCCTATCATTGATGTTCATTGTAGTCACTCTTCATGGTTCAGACACACACGCGCCGATGCCATAGCTTTGGATGAGCCACTGAGGTTTGGAAAGAAGGAGTTCAAGGTCAAGGCGGGCGGTGCAGAAGGAGGGACTCCCTCCGCACGTCCAGGGTTTCTGCACGTCACGAGGTTGGGGGTCCAGATTGGTTACTGTAAGTTGCTTGAGGGATCAGCTGAACTGATCCACATGGAGCGGTAGTCGATCGTTTTTCTTCTTTATTTTTTTTCGGAGACCTCCGTAGACCGTAAGGTTCCCTCCTCCGGCATCGATGGCAGTTGTAGGCCAAGTGGCCCAGCGAAATGTTCTTTTCGTGGTCCGGAAAAGTGGCATTTGCAAGACCTGAAGAGCATGGCGCATCTTAGGACTCTGGTTCAAGTGCCAAGCTAGCAGCTAGAGGGAGAGGTCGAGTGACACCTTGGAAGGAGTTCAGAAGGGCCGCCGTGCGGTTCCGCACTACTACTTCTTCTTCTTCTTCTTTATTCTTCTTCTTCTTCTTCTTTTTTTTCTTCTTCTTCTTCTTCTCCTCCTCCTCAAATGCTTGATGCCATAGCCTTCTTTTGGGGTAACAAGATCATATCTGAATCTCCGTCAGGCCCCCCAGATCACCGTCTGGCACAGGCGAGCTTCAATTGGAGTTCGGCCGAGACCAGTGGCACCAGCGACATGCGCTGGGAACAGACCAAGAAGCTGGAGCCGGGGGAGGGCGGGTGCGGGGTGGCGTGGGCGATGGAGCCTTTTAAAGGATCTCTGCAACAGCAATATATTAGACTCAGACATATAATATTATAGTAGTTAGCTCTATATTCTTTTTCCCCAAGTGATTCAAACGATTTCAGTGGAGGGTTCTTAAAGACAGAAAGGGAGCAAAGATCTTCAAATCCCAGCTTAGAACTGTTATACACACATATATATATATATATATGTCGATATTCAGTATCCCAGTGTCCAGGTTTGGAGGCTGAAACCAGCATGGACGGGTGGGACCCAGTAAGCATGAAGAACGTCCTGGACTGAAAAACCACAACTTCGCATTGATTCCAACAGCTTTCTTTCTTCTCCAGCCATCTTCGCAAGAAAAGAGTCGATCGATTTCTTTTGGTGTCGCTCCGCTTTCTCGGGTCCTTCCCGGTTGGCCCGTTTGGGCCCGGTGGCGCCTCTGGTTAAGTGAAAAGGTGAAGAACTGGCCCCCACGCGGCCCGCGCCCGCGCTTGTCTGTGAGAGGAGGTGCCTCAAGGCGCGGCGGAGGGCGTGATCAGCTTGTGGTCCTTGGGGACCATCAAGGACGCAGCGGGGGGCGGCAGCGGGGTGGGGGGGGGAAGGAAGGTGGTGTTGCGAGGAGGACAGAGATGGAGGTACCAAGGTGCCGGTCGGAGCCTGGCCCTTTTGGAGTGTGATGGGACTTGGACTGTTCTGGAGGACTTCTGAGGTGAAAGGGTGATTGAGTACAGTGGCTTTGTTGGTGGATTTGGTCTGGTGTGTGACACTGTGGCGGTTTGCAGGTGACAGAGACCTTGTGTTGAGTTGAAGCACTCTGTAGAGGAAAATGGTCCATCCACGTCACCAGGTTTGTTTCAGCGAGTGTAACTCATTCAACCGAGGTTTGTAGTTGTAGGATTTCACCATTTTCCGGGCTGCCTGGATTTCCAGCGTTGGGCGGCTGTTGGGCGTCTGTTGGGCGTCAGGACTCCAAGGTGGCGTCCTACTCACTCGACACCAAGAAGGAGCCGGGCTGCCGGCTGGGGTTCGCGGGAGGTTTCCCAGTGGGTCCCTGGTGGGTGCGGGGTGGAGCTGGCCCCAGCACCGATCGCCTGAACTTGCCTTTGAGACCGATCGCCTGTTGGGTTGGGTGTTCCTGGAGAGAAGCGAGCGGCGAGAAACCAAGCCTTCTTTCTTGACTGCAGGACCTTCCAAGGTGTGTCCAGTTGAAACCCAGTCGGGTGGGGATAGTCACACAGAGACCTGGTCACGTGTCCTGCGCTTGCTTCTCGTTGGTTGTTTTCTTGCATCCATTTGCATCCCCTTGTCTGGGCCGTTGATTTTGACGCTGGATCAAGACCTCTGGCTTCCCAAGCTCTAGAACTCTAGGATGCAGGTTACAGCTGTGTCTGGTGACACAGTTGCAGAGTTCGATGAGCATGAGTTGTGCTGCATGGTGGAAAGTGGAAAAACGGTTCGGGACCTAAAGCGACTTCTTTCAGCTAAGGTTGGGTGCTCAAGGTTTCAGCAAAGACTCGTGAGCGACGAATTTGGCAAATTGCAAGATGAGATGCCTTTGAGACTGCTGCCACATCTGCAGCTGGTAGTCCTGCCCTTTTGTGCTTGTGATGAGATTATGGAGGAAGAACTGCTTCAGAACTGCCGGGAGAATCATGTGAGTCTGGTTGAAAGACTGCTTGAAAAGCCGCAGGACCCAAGCGGGAGGGCATTGTTTACTGCAGCTGGGTATGGCCACTTGGAGATTGTGCAATTGTTGCTTGAGGCTGGAGCTGACAAAGATGCAGCAGTGATAGATGGGGCAACAGCCTTGCATGCTGCCGCCCAGACCAGCCATTTGGAAGTTGTGCAGTTGCTGCTTGAGGCTGGAGCTGACAAAGATGCAGCGACGACAGATGGGGCAACGGCTTTGTTTATTGCAGCTGAAAGCAGTAGCTTGGAAGTTGTGCAGTTGTTACTTGAGGCTGGAGCTGACAAAGATGCAGCAACGACAGATGGTTCAACTGCTTTGTTTATCGCAGCCCAAAACGGCGACTTGGAAGTTGTGCAATCTTTACTCGAGGCTGGAGCTGCCAAAGATGCAGCAAGGAATGGGGCAACCGCTTTGTTTATGGCAGCCCAGAAAGGCCATTTGGTAGTCGTGAAGTTGTTGCTCGAGGCTGGAGCTGACAAAGATGCTGCAGTGACAGATGGTGCAACTGCTTTATTTATTGCAGCCCAGAACGGCGACTTGGGAGTAGTGCAATCGTTACTCGAGGCTGGAGCTGACAAAGATGCAGCAAGGAAAGATGGGGCCACGGCTTTGTTTATTGCAGCCCAGAAAGGCCACTTGGAAGTTGTGCAATCGTTGCTCAAAGCTGGAGCCAACAAAGATGCAGCCAGGACCAATGGGGCAACGGCTTTGATAATGGCGGCCAGGAATGACCATTTGGAGGTTGTACGATTGTTGCTCGAGGCTGGAGCTGACAAAGATGCAGAAATGACAGATGGTGTCACGGCTTTGTATGTTGCCACCCAGAACGGCCACTGGGAAGTCGTGCAGTTGTTGGCTAAACCTGGAGACGACAGGAATGCCGCAATGAGAGATGGGCTGTGTGTTTGAGCCTTTGTAGCGGGAACATGACTGCAGTCACTGTAGTTAGTTGGTGGCCTGTCTTTTGTTTATGTACCAAGCAGAAGACCAGGTCAGCAAGGTCGATTGTAAAAGGGCCATCAAGGGCGTTATACAGTATGGACCTGTACGTTCTCTGTACGAAGCGATGCACCTCAAGGCCTCCAACGATCTCCGGACCTCCGAACCCAGTTTCTTCATCTGCTTCTGCTTCTTCGCGGGGGGGGGGGCGATTGTCGTCACGCGATCGGTCACGTTGTCGTTTTTGGGAGGACATGCTGGACAAGGCCGAGTCCTTCTTCGGGCGAAAGCAAAAGTTCAAGCTCCAGCACAAGGGCAAGACGGCTCCGGGGCCCCAGATCCTCCGATTCGGGGCGGCTCTCCGGGGGGAAAAAGAGCGGCTTGGGGAATCCAAAGGCCTTGCATAAGCCATGGCCTTTCAGCGCACGTGAGGGACCGGGGGCAACCTGCAACGCCACATCGGGGGCCACCGCTCGGCCCAGTCGTCGATGGGGACCATCGGCGAATGCTCGGGGGCATCGGGGCATCGGCGAGCCGCAGCCCAAATGGTTGAGACTCAGAGAGCGTGGGTTGTATTTGGTTGTCTGGTTGTAAGTTGTCACTGGTTGTATTTATATACTGTAAATCATATATTATATGTATATAGAGGGAGTCGGAGGTTCCAATCCTCCCTGCCACTCAAGCTTCTCCAGCTCAAGCTTCTTCCTTCACCTTGCATTGTGTCTTGAGCCCAGTTCTCCTTGGATCCGTCGGTTGGCCCACCACCTTGGATTCGCCGGATGTCAAACCCAGCCGTTTGATGACTTCGTTGCGGAATTGGCACCCGGGAGGGCCGGAGATCGGCACATCCCTGGAACAGGGCCCCATCCCCCCAAAAAACATGCCGAGTTTTCACCCCAAGGAAGAGGACAGGGGTCCAACTCCCATATCCATCCTAGAGCTTCAGTATATCTCTCTGGCCAAGTTTTGTGGCCATGCCTCCGAGGTGGGCACGTTGCTGATCACTTTCAGGAGCCGTTGGAAAGGGGGGCGGGTGGAGCTGGGGTTTTGAGCCGACTGGAGTCAGCAAAAAACGGGAGGTCATATCCAAGAAGCAGACGGGATATGACTGGAACCCCTTACGTCGCCCCAACTCTGGAGAATAAGCTCATGGAAGAGAGCGGTTTCTGAGAGAGCGGTTTCCGGGGTTTTGGCATCAGACTCACCCCTAACATGTGCGTTGTGTGGTGGGCCAAGGTCACCCAGGTTGGTCATTTTTGGATGCTGCTCAACTGCTCAACTCAAAGAGCTTCTGTAACCAGCCGTGGCCTTTATGAATGGCCATGCCAGTGTTGAAGGGCGGATCAAAGGATTGAGCCTTGGGTTTGTGTCTCCTCCAACCAATGGTTATTTGGTCCATTTTGAGTTTCCAACTCGACTTCTCCCATTTTCGTTCACTCACCTGAAGCCTGAAGCTGAACTCGGCCGGTGCCTGGCTCGCCGCATGCGCCCTGCGGTCAGGAAGCGTGGCAAGGGAGAGAACGACCTTGGTGATTGTCCCATTGATGGCACCCCCCGAGGGTTGGGGGTGTTGGGCCTGGACCAGGTGGAGTTGGGGGCCCTTGGCCTTGAACAGATACGTAGAAGAAGCGATTTCCACACATTTGTCACAGGAATCACTTAAAGGAAGACTTCATGGAAACGAACAATTCAAAGGGTCAGACCGTCGATGTTTAATTTGGTGATTGGCCAGCTGCCCTACCACGATAGCGTTTCAGGCCAAATACTACAAGAAGACGGCGATTTGTAGCAGCTTATTGTGTCAAGCGTAGGCACAGAGACACTGCACATCTCTTCTTCCCCAGATAGCGAGAGCTATTGGGGTTCTTACTTCAAGTACAGGAAGAGGTGCCTGTTGGCGCTTTTGATCTTGGGTGCTGGTGCCGCTGCAGGGTGCCGCTGCCAGATGTGGCTGTGTGCGCTTTGGAGCTTGGGTGCTGGTGCCGCTGCCAGATGTGGCCCTGTGCGCTTTGGAGCTTGCGTGCTGGTGCCGCTGCATGGTGCCGCTGCCAGATGTGGCCGTGTGCGCTTTGGAGCTTGGGTGCTGGTGCCGCTGCAGGGTGCCGCTGCCAGATGTGGCCGTGTGCGCTTTGGAGCTTGGGTGCTGGTGCCACTGTTGGAGCTTGGGTGCTGGTGCCACTGCAGGGTACATCCCCAGGGTGCTGCTGCGACGTGTCTTTGGCCGTGTGCGCATTGGAGCCCGCGTGCTGGGCGCTGCTGCACTGTGCTGCCCACAAAGGTCTTTTGCTATCTGGGGTGTGTGCTGGCGTAGCTTTTGCTTTCTAACGTGAAAAGCTGGCGATGGGCAATGTCAGGTTCCTGAAGATATCCATCGTCAATGGCCGGCTGGGGCTGCCAGCTGCGACTCTCGCATTGGTACACGTCCGACCGTATGAGGTATATTTGGATGTTTCGGAGAGGTCACCGGATGAGGTTCTTCAGCCTCAAAGCTGGCGCACTGGTACCACTCCCCAAAAAAGGGTTTAGGATGCCACGTTCTTTTTCTTTTTCTTTCGCTTGTCATCCACCGCTGCGTTCGCGAACGCAGGTATTGATGAGGACTCCCCCCTGCTCATCGATGTGGCGAACGCCATACAGGACACGTGACCGGGGTGGTGAACAGTCACTGCGCGGTTTTTCCGGAGACCTGGTGGTCGGCCAATGCGTGGCCCGGAAGTGAAGGACACAAGTGTTCCGAACACAAAGGACAAACCAAAAAGACCGGGCGAAAAAGAACTGCCAGATTTGGAGGTCAAACTAGACAGTGAGGTGTATTTTTTGCCAACCCAGCTTCGCGGCCGCAACCTTCTTTGGTTCCAGGCCTCGAAGAGGGTTTTTTTTCGGTCCAAAGACATCGTCCCAATTTCGAGGTCTTTCGACGTTTGATTTGGCAAGCATGGCACCCGGTACTTGAGGTTTTACTTCACCGTTTCAACATGTTTCAACCAAGCATTTTCTTAAGAATTCACCGGTGAGCCAGGAGATGGTGAGGAAGAAAGAACTGCAGCCCCTGCAGAAGGGAGAGAAGCTACTTGCCGTGCATCTTTAGAATAGAAATGGGTGTGTCCAAAAACAGACTTCCTTTGTAGTTAATAGCAACTAGTATGCTGGATACTCAGGAATGATGGCATTGACATTGTCCTCTATGGTATAATGTTTTCCAACGTGGAGCTAAACATTATGTTTCTGGGATAAATCATAAATCTGTTGTTTGCTTTGGTGCTGGTGTTTGTTTGTTTGTTTGTTCGTTCGTTCGTTCGTTTGTTTTTTCATCGTTTGTGCACTATTTACTATTCCTCCTCCAATGCAACACTTCCTGCTACAGGGAAGGGAGGGTTCCTAGTTCAGATGCCGACCTTTCATGATAGCGTAGTTTTCTCATGCAGAGGCTTGACGGGGAGAAGAAGATCGCAGTCCTTGCCAAGACCTTGCAGGATGGTTTTGAGAGATGGCCATGGGTCATGGCACCTCACCCTACAAACCATGGACAGTTGACATCCCTTTGACCCACAAATGCAGCTTGCGTGTCTCAAGAGTGAGGTGTTTGTGGACTCGTGGACCAAAACACAAATTTTCTGCACACGTTTGGCGGGTTTAAACGAGGACAGGGTGGCTGTGTATTTGATTACACAGATGTCACAGATGGTACACTGAGGCTGGACTCAGGTCAGGACAAACCCGCTGATTTCACTGATTTGATGGACAAACCCAGTGGGCTTTCCCAGATGTTTGGAAGAAGCGTCATTCCTTTGTCCGAGATGATCCAGTATGTTGTGGAGCGGCCCTCCTGATTTTTGTGTGGTGCTGCGTTTTATTGCAAGCACTGATCATCCAAGCCTTCAAGTCAAGTCACTTGAGCAAGTAACACCATTGGTTGGGCCCGGGTACTTCTGGCTGAAGCATTGGTTGCAGGAGTGCACCCCCCAAAACTCCCAAAGCAACGGCAAGCAATGCATCGCAGCGCTAAGTCACATGTGTTTGCCCTTGAAGTCGGATATGTTCCTTCAGGCTCCTCAAGGATCCAGGTAGGTAGAATGTGGGGTAAGCCAACGCCAGAACAAGGTTCCTAAGGTTCGTTTTCCAAAATTCCAAATCTACCCAGTTACTCCAGCTCCTTCTCTGCTCAAGTGACTAGTCCTACGGCAGGGCGATCTGCGGGAGATTGATGCAGAGGGGAAAGAGAAGGGGAAGGCGCGCGAACGCCAGGAAGCAGTGTGCCTGTTTCTTCCGCTCAAGATGCCGCCTTCAGAATGCGACCAAAAACCCATTGATTTTGCTCTCACATTTTATAGACTTATAAAGTTTATATAACGACAAACTTGACTATTTTCCACAGTTGCTGCCTGTTCAATTGTTCCTTTGGCTCCCTGGATCCTCGGCTCGTCACGAGGTCTACGTGCGCGTGGTGAACTGCAACTTTGCGGAGCTCAAGGGCGAGGACATGAAGGAGGCGGGGAGGCTGCCGGACGTGCTGCGCGTGGCTGTCGGTGTTGGGGTCCATTTGGACTGGAGGAAGATGAGAAGATCTCTCTCTGTCTCTCTCTCTCTCTGTCTTTGTCTCTAGCAGAGACCGTGCAGAGACCGTGTCGATCGGAGCTTTCGAGACTGTGCAGACGGTGCAGGGGTCGCCGTGTAAAAAAAGAATCCTGTACGGAGCCATGTCCGGTCGATGTGGTTTGCCTGCAGATGCATCGTGTGTGTGTGTGTGTGTGTGGGTTGCTGCAGAGGTGAAAGAGTGGTGAAACCAGCCAGGAGTGGGCGAAGCAATGTGAAAAGGCACGGAAGAAAGGCCAGGGTGCCAGGGCAGAGTGAGGGCTGAGTGAGGGTGGGGAGATGATACAGACTTCAGAGGCTTGTGCATGTGTTGCAGGTTTACTGTGTAGGAAGCTACACTGATCACACTATCCTTGTTGATCTGAAGAGCATCCTTTGCTCTCATACGGGATTCGAGCATGTGGGAGCCTTTTCGATTCAGATCTTTGTGCATTCTTTTAGGACCTGCACTGGAGCACCGGGCCGGTCTCACCGAGGTCTGAAACAACCGCAGCGCAAGTGGTACTTCTGCTGGTATGGCAGCAAGAACGTCGGAAGCTTATGGACCATGTGACCCTCCCAACAAGGATGGCACCCCTCTTCTGTTCCGGGGCCATGCCATCCACGCAGACGTAACCACACTCGTGGCAGAACTCTCAAGCTGACTAGTCCAAATACGTGGGGACACCTGGCCGACCCGCCTTCTGCGACGCCACAACAACGGGTCTCCGGGACCTCACCTTGGCCGGGTCCCTTCGCCTCTCTGCGTCTCCGCGAGGAAGCGCTGGACGCGGAGAAGTGGCACTTCCCCGATGGCTTCTTTCCCCTGGCCACCATGACGGCGGTGCACCGCTCCCCCGAGCGCCAGGAGAGCGAGCGGGTCCCTTCGCCTCGGGTGGGTGGGTTCCCCGCTCCAAATTCCGCGGTTCGGCCCGTTCGGAGCCTGGGGTGGCTTGAGCATGCAATCGGAGGGGCGATGGGTTTTGCACGGGTTGTAATGGTTTTGGCCGTGGGAGAGATGGAATTCGGTGGACATCACCACAACAGCTTAAGTCCAGCACAGCTTTCCATGCAAACAACAACCCCGGAGATGTGGTCTTTTCGGCAAAGCTGGCAGAGCCAGGCAGAGCTGTCCCGAGAGTCTAGCTCAGGCATGTGCAGAGCTCCCTCTAGTTAGGTACCAAAGCAACAAGCGCGCATGGAAGTTGAGCGCCCTTGGGGAGCTAGCAGGAAGATAGGTTTCTCACTCCAGACTGATGAGGGATCAATTTTTTCAAAGTCACAACAATGCAAGTCAAGACACCATTTTCTGAGAAGACATTATTTTTTTTCTGAGAAGACTGTCTTGCTGCTGTTTGGTGGTTCTTGGTGCCGCGGAGCGCGACCCTGCGAGGACCAATTTCTGGTGAAGCTCCTTGGCTGCCTCGTGCTTTGGTGCATCGTTTCCCTTAACATGTCAAGAAGCGCCATGGAAAAGACAATCCAAGACTACTCAGACTCCAGGTGTTCCTCCAGAATGCTGTTTTCGATGCTGCACTCGTCAGGGGAGTCTTATAAGGGCTTTTCAACTGATGTCAAAGCCTTCACCGGTCGCCGGAGGTACTCTGCGGGGTCGAAGGAGACGTTGATCTACCGCCGAGAGCAAGGGAAAGCCCTGGATGCCTGGGTTGAAGGCTTGGACATGGCCAATCAAGAGCATCTGGGCGAAGACCGAGAACAAATAGCGTGTCTTTTTGATTCTTCCCGGTCACCCGCTAGGTAGGCTTGGTGAATGCCAGATGCAGATGTAGGCAGATGTCAGAGTTTGTAAAGGAAGACAGATTCTTCATGATTTTTCCGTTTTGGAGAATCACACAAAAGACATGTGATTTTTTCACCACCACCACCACCACCACCACCACCACCACCACCACCACATCGGATGGGAGCTGCGCATGCTGCTTTGAGCGCTGAGGATCCGAGAGAACATGAAGGAGGAGAAGGAGGCTGAAGAGATGGAAGAGAAGGAAAAGGCCAAAGCGCGGATGATGCATGGCCAGTGGATGCAGAGGATGCTAGGGCTGAGAGGGATGGGCTTGACAAGACCTGGGGGAGGGGGTGGGTGGTCTCGACTTCAGCGACTTCAGGTGACCGACAGAGCGTGGGAGCCGATGGGCGACAAACGCCGCTGGTGACTCAGAGACCCGAACACTTCTGTGTGCATTCTGAGGAATGGCATGCCCCAAAACGAAGAACAGTGGACTGCATGGTTTCAATGGATGAAGAGCGGGAATCTGGAAGATGAGAGCATTCGCAACTTCTACCAGGCTCGTGGCCTTCGGCTGGGCGTTCGAACAGATCAGCAGGGTGTCACCCATCATTGAGTGTGGCAGCAGATTGCACCAACCAAAGCCGCTTCCTTTTCTTCTAAATTAGGCAACTCCATAGGTTCCTTGCTTCTGTCCAAACTTGAGAAAGCAGATGAAAGCAGTAAAGAGAAAAGCAGTTCATTTCCGCAGGCAGATCATCGCTTAAGGCTTATGGTGCTCGGAACCATGGCCCAAACTGAAAGTCTAGGTCCACAAGACAGAGTGCTTAACGTAAACAATGTTGCGTTTTGAGGGTTGATGAAATCTTCATCCGGTGTTTCACAACTGCCTGGATGAACTTGCAAGTTGACAGCCATGTTACCAAGAGTGGAGAAAGTAGCTAGATGTTGTGCCTGGCCAACCCCCCAGAACAATAAGAGATAAGAGTACGGTATGCTGAGCAAAGCAGAACCCCCCGTTCCATTTTGGTCCATTTGAAGAGGTTGTAGTTTGTTGGACTTGTGTTTTCCCTAAATGCTTATTCATCCAGTGCTCCTGTGTTGACCTCCATTTATATACTGCTTTCTCCTCCACTCGCCCGAACCACGCGGCCTCGGGGGGCCGGACCTCTCCCTTCTTTGGCTCTCTGAGCTTCGTCTGGAGGGTTCTGGGAGCTCCGTTCGTAGCGCCCTTGCTCCTAGTAAGGCCACGAGCCTCGATCGTAGAGTCCTTGCTCCTAGTAGCGATGCCCTTTGCTCCTAGTAGCTTCTGGGTGGTACGGTTTCCGTCCCAAAGTCGCTGGAGGAGTTGATGACGCAGCCAGCGCAGCCTCGCCGCGGGTGAGCGCGAAAAGCGGAATGAGGGGGAATGTGGGGGGAAGGCGGGAGGAAATGTGAGGGAATTTGGAAATGAGGGTGAAGGTGGAAGAGGGCAAACGCATGTTTGCGCACAGTGCTCGCAACTCGAGAGCACAAGGAAGGAAGCTTAGGAGAGCCAGCCACCACAACGAGATGCCGGGCCTGAGGTTTTGGCGAGTAGAATCTAAAAGAAACATTTCTTCAGGTATCCTTTATCCTTTACCCTAAATGAGCATAATTACGGACTGCTTCGATGGTAGAATCATCGAGTTGTGTGGATATGTGGCTCCTTGCCTCCTTCCCTCCCCCTCCTCCTCCTCCTCCTCGTCCTCCTCCTCCTCCCCCTCCCTCCCTCCCTCCCTCGCTCCCTCTCTCTCTCTCTCTTCTTTTTTCTCTCTCCCTCTCTCTCTCTCCCCTCCTTTTTCGTTCATGTTTGTTGGTTGCGAAGATAGATGACTGATCTAGCGTTCTCATCACGATGATTGAGCAAATTTGTGCAGTGCTTGCGGCTCCAGCAAAGAAAGACACACCGAAGAGCCGCCTTGACCGCAAAGAGATGGCAGGCCCGAGACGGAAACGCCGCTGCTTTCAAGGGGATAAAGTCGAGTTCCGCAACTGCGCAGGATTCCGCAACTGGGATTCCACAACTTTTGTGAATGATGAGGGCACACGATGGGGACAAGGGCGGGTTGGGGTGGGGGGGTCGGGTGGGGACCAGTTGCAGAATACCAGTTTCAGAATGTCAGTTGCAGAGTCTGACTTTCCAGTTTCAGAATCCCAGTTTCAGAATACCAGTTGCAGAATCTGACTTTCCAGTCTCAGAATACAAGTTTCAGAATCCCAGTTTCGGAATACCAGTTTCAGAACCCAAGTTTCAGAACCCTAGTTTCAGAATCCGACCGATTAGTTTCCGAATCCGGCCCTAACCGCTTTCAAGGTCCAGAACCCTCCAACTGCTCAACCGCCGCCGTCTTGGGGATCTCTTCGTTGGGACCAAAGCCCGTGGACGGTCTCGGACCGCGTCCGCGAACCCTCCGGAGTGGACCGACCTTCTCGCTCGCAGGCGAGCAAACACCTTTAATGGATGAGCGAGGTGGGAAGTTCGAACGAGCATGGGCGAGTGAAGTGTAGGAAACTAGCAGAAGGGCATGTTCTGCTGGAACTAGGACACACCGAATGGAACTCGGAGTTGTTTGCCTGTCACTGAGCATGTTCTTCATGATATTTCATGATGGAGTGAGGGAGGGAGGGAGAGAGTCCTTTCGAGAGGGGGAGAGAGAGAGGGACAGAGAGAATCTGCTTTCACCACATGTCAGTGTACATACTTACCAGGACCTTCCAAGGGGTGTCTATCTATAGCCCCTTAGCTGTTAAGGGGCGTCCATTAACCACCCTTGAAGGCCCTGGTACATGCACCCTTCTGTTTGCTTTTTCTTTGGCTCCTGTTGACTTTTTTTCGTGCGCCTGGCCAGCTGCGAACCCCGATGAGTCTGGCTCGGGCTTTGGGCTGTTGGCAGGCTGGGCGACTGCGAGGCAGAGGAGTTTCGTTTTCGAACACAAACAACCAGAAAGAAATTATAAGAAATTGATGTTTCCCCAAACAGCCATTTCCTATGTAAAGGATCATATTTGCCATATTGGAACAACCATTTCTTTCTGGTTGTTTGGGGTTCCAGGTGGTTCTTATGGGTAAGCAGAATGAGACTTACGAGAGGATCAACAAGGTTTGCCTTCCTTTTAGGAGGTCATGGCAGATATGGGGAGAAGAGGGACTGGAGTTTTTCACGTGAGGCCGTTGGACTGGGGATCTTAGATGATCTTAGCGTTCTGTTTTGGGACGAAATCCGATGACATCCCGTGGTGCCAAGGGGTTTTCCCCCTGCGTAGTGGGGTCCAGGCTAGTCAATTGGGCCGAAGACTTCAAAGAAGTCCGTTACGCCGCACTGGGGAGATAGCGCCCATGTGCCGGGTTGATCCTTCTTAGTCAGAACGCTGAATCTTTCTTTGTGTGCTTTTTTGGAGGATGCAAATCGCCAAACAGAAGTGTCAATCAATCATGGCGCTGAATTACCACTTGATTGGATTTCTATTCCGCATCCCACCAAAAGGTCAGGCATATACCAAAATTCAGAGCCCCTTGGCCTCTTGGTATGTTTCGTTGCGGTCACCGATGGGCGCGACGGGTGAGCCTCTTGAACCGGCGCGCGACTGCAGTCATCCTCATCGTCCCTCGACTGGTTGGCGCTGGCATTGGCTTCGGCATCTACAAGCTTCTTGACGTTCAATTCCCTTGGGTCAACCGTTTGGTTTGGTCTGCAGCCCCCAAAACGCCCCTATAGGCCATGCAGCCCGTCTATGGCAGGTCACACCGTCGCGGCAAACCCCTACGGTGCGAAGCGTAGCGAGGCTGTAGCCTTCGGCATGGGCTGTCTACAATCTTTGTATGCATAGATGCAAGTTTGCATTTTGAGAGGAAGACTATGTATCAATAGTTGATTAAGCTGAATTCAAAGCAGTAATTTGGCTTTTACGAATATACACATTTCAAGGAAACAGTCAAACAAATACAAGTTTGTTTCTCTAAAGAAGAATGGACAGCTCTTCGCGCCGGCTGTATTCGCCATGGCCTCTCCACGGTCGGGTGGCGCCATGGCCTCTCCCTCTGGCCATGTTTCGATTGCCAGTATGTCTGGCCAAGAAGTGGCTCACTGGACCTGGGAGGAGGTGAAGGAGAGATCGGTTGGTTCGCTCAAGACCGTTTTGGCCAAGAAGATTGGCATCAACCGCTTCCGGCAAGTGTGGCTTGATGGAGATGGCGATTGCAAGTTGACGGATGAGGCCCAACCTACAGCAAACATGCAGCTGGTGGTGCTGCAGTGCGAGGAGTGCAGTTTGTCAGTGTTGGAGAAGGTGTTCTGCGCCTGCAACGAAGATCGCAGGGCGGACCTAGAAGAGCTCCTGTGCATTCCTGTAGTCCCTGATGCCATGGCAGAGGAGCACTGGGAGAATTGTCCTGGGCAGTGGTTGGGCAAGCGTGCGCTGCATGTTGCTGCAGGTGCTGGCAGTCGGGAATGCACGAAGTTGCTGCTTGAGGCAGATTGTGATGTTGGGTTGAAAGATAGAAATGGCCGGACAGCGTTACATCATGCCGCGGACGTTGTTGTTGTGAATCTGTTGCTCAAAATGAGCGCAGATCTAAATTTGCAAGACTTGCAAGGAGAGACACCTCTGATTCGAGCAGCCAGATGTGGCCGCCCGAAAGTTGTGCGGCATTTGCTGGGGCTCGGTGCCGATCGAAACGTCCGGAACACGTGTGGTGAGACCGCCTTGCAACTTGCACGAAGTCTCATCGCCATGGACACCGTGTCCAAGCCTGAACGCCCCTGGAGCCGCTGTGTGCAACTCCTGGAAGCAGCGCAGCGGAAAAGAGTTTAGCGCCCGCAAAGGGTCAGGGAAGTTGTAGGGAAAAGTCTCGATCCGACTGCTTGAGCATGTGTCTTTTGTTGTCTTTTTCTCATTTGGTTGCCTGTAGTGAGCGCTGGCAGCACTTGCGAGCTCTTGGATGTGACCGTGACCTTGAGCAGCTTGGGTCATATTTGGGGTACACGAAGGACGTTGGACTCCAATGAGTGGACTCATCACATGTCGAAATAGGGGTAATCCTTCGAAGGGGTTGCAAGCTAGGCTCTATTGGGCCATGCCTTGAAATGAATGGAAGCGTTTGGCTTTATTGTATGGCGGAACCCCCAAACAGATAGAAACAGCTTCCGAGACCTTCTTCGTGGGGATCTACTTTTCTATCTTATCTATCTATATATTTGGGGGGTCCAAATAGATCACACATGACAACCCTTCTAGACCCGTTCAAAAGGGACCTCTTCTGACTGCACTCCTTTACCGGGACCGCGGAACCTGGATGCGCTCAAGCAGTTCGACGTGGGAACGGGCACGTGCAGCTCATGGACTGAGGCTGGGAGACACTGTGAAATATGACCTCCACTTGGCGAAGCTCCAACACGTCTTCCGGTTGGCTTGAGCGGGGAAGTGTTCAGGTGAATGGCGTCAAAGACACGGCATGGATGTTGGGACGGGGAGGATTTGGAGTGCTATTCGTGGGGCATCCAAGCTTCAGTGCGCAATTGATTATGTTGATTAGTGGCAAAGGGTTGACAGGTGAAATTCAAGATTCCCATTGGCTGTTGTTTCGATGTTCGTGTT